ATTATGTGAATTACTTCCCTATGTGCTTAGCTGTTTTGGAAGCATAGATGCTAGGATGCAAGAACATGTACTTTTGGAATTTTTGGGTTGCGTATTTTACATTATAGACTCTTGTATCAAGGACCTATGTGGGGGAAAACATGTATTATATATATGAAATATGTGATATATGCAATGTATGGATTTGGGGGTGTATCACAATCAAAAGGACTGTATATTTTAGCAAAGGACAAGCTCTCCATTAAAAGTTTGACATATGTTTTGTACCTTCTGAATTGCATTTAATGCAATAGGTGTAAATAGATAAGTATTCTCCTCTTAGTTATCAATCTTCCTCACTAAGAACTTACCCAAAAACTTATTTCTCTCATTACTCTCTATCTAAGAAATAGAACCACTTTGAGAAAAAGTGAAAAGCACATTTATTCTTATCTTTATTTCTTGTAGCAAATATTTTCTCTTTGCTATTTGTAATTCTGTGTATCTTGGAGTTTTTAGATAGGTTCTTTACCTTATCTCTTTCGCAAACAATCTGTAAAATTTGTATTGATCTTCTTTATCAATATACAATTTTTAAAAGTGAGAGTTTATGTGTTTGTATTCATCCACCCCTTCTACAAATTGATTACCTATAAACTCTTGTAAATCCGGCTTGGACCAACAATATTGTTAAAATTTTCAGATCAATATGCATATGACTTGATAAGAGAGCTCGAATAGAAATACCGATTCGATCCAAGCTCTCTTGGAATAAGTTTGGCAGCGGATCACGAAATATTAGTTATTTTTCTCTATCTAATGAATGGGGGGTCTGCTTTCTAGTTTATGGTCGCTTCTCTACGGTACTAGTTGTTGCTTCATTGAATTTGCTTCATTAATAGGCTCAAGATTCAGTTAAGATATCGTATAAATAAAAAAAATCCGATTTCTTTTCATTTATCTGTATTTTTTTATTCCATTTTTCATTTTCTCCTTGGTGAAATCCTTCTCTATTTGTTATTTGTCTATTTATCATTGATCATATTTGTGTTTTCGCAATATTATTCTAAATCATAATCTAAATTGAGAAATCTGGGATCCAACAGAAGACGAGATTCCCCAACGTAGAATTGAATATTTTTCTCTATTTACGTAATTTAATATTTTTACAAAATATATTTACGTAACTTATATATAAGCACCAATTTCACATTTAAATGATATAGTATATTAAGCTTTAAACAAACCAATTTCTAATTAGCGTATTTGTATAAGTGGCATCAAACAAAATTAGTTCAAACATATATATATATATATATATATATATATATATATATAGGGAAGGGTTCAAACGAGAACCCCTGTGATTTACGAGAACACAAGAACAACCCAATAACCTCATATTATGATAAAAAAATAAAATTAAAAGATTTTTAAAATTTAAATTTAAATTTAAAAAGATTCAAAAAAATTTAAAATTAAAAGGTAATAATGAAAATGATATCATCAAATCTTTTAAACACGATCTTTATCTTTTAAACACTCATTATTATCATTATCTAGTAAAACGGTTACGAAATAGGTTAGGATTATACTAGGTGTGATAATCATGTGATATAGGTGTGATAATCATGTGATAGGGGTGTGATAATCACCATTATACATCACTTGGGTT